TGTAAACTCTTCACAGTCATTCACAGGTTTATTGTAACTAGCGTCAATATTTTTAAAATGTGTGTTTATTCATTTTGAGAGAGAGAGAAAAAGAGAGAGAGTGTGTGCGCATGCACACGAGCAGGGGAGGGGCAGGGAGAGAGAGAATCTCAAGCAGGCTTCACGCTGTCAGTGCAGAGCCCGATGTGGGGCTGAGTCTCCTGAACTGTGAGATCATGACCTGAGCTGAAATCAAGAGTTAGATGCTTAATGGAATGAGCCCCCCAGGCGCCCCACGAATTTCAATATTTTTAATTTTTAATATCCAAAAATATCCTTTCACTGATGTTTTTGCATGCATTGGTACCGTTTTATATGGTATTATCTTAAAAAATTTCAAACTCCTGTGTATCTATAGCCATTTTCCTGCCAATGTCAAGTTTTACCTTCTGTTTCTTTTTTCTTAAATATAGATTTGCAAAGTTTTACCTTAAAACTTTTTTCTTTGGAAAAAAAATTGATCAAGCTTATCATTTTGTGTTTGTTCTTATAGTTTTTGTTTTATTACTATCTGGTTTAATCTCAATTCCTTCACTCTCTTCAGTGGACTTATTTTGTTTTTCTTTTTAGTGTCTTTTGGTGAAATCTTTTTCATTAGATTTCAACCCCTTTTATTTGGGGAAAAATTCATTTATGGCCATAAATTTCTTCCTGAGAATTTCTCTGGTTCCATACCCAGGTTTTGATATAGAGGCCATGCATGTTTTGCAAAAAACTAGTTCACATAGCAGGCCTGAGACTGTTACACTTGACAAGTCCTGCCTGCAAGATTGGCCCTTGGCTGGTGTCGGGCAACTTGACTGGTAAATTCAATCCTTTGCTGATATTAGAACTTTTCCCGTATGATAGGGTAGCTCACTATGCCTAAACATTTGCTTTCCTTATGGGAGTCTGAGGGTGCCTATGTGACCAGACATCTATACTCCCCCAGCTAATTCTCATGTTGACATCTTATGGAATTTTATTTCCAGATGGTTTATTTAACACACATACAAATTTCATTTTAGCAATGTTGTTTCATATTATTTCTTTGTTGCCATGTTTTTTACTCATTACTCCCTCTCAGATTTATTTTTCTTCATGCTAAAATAATATCCTGGGGTAATTCTTTCAAAGAATGTGGATAGTAATCTTTCTAAGGTCTGCTATGTTTGAAAATGTCCTTCATTCATGAAAGAAGCTAAATGGCTGAATTTATTCTCCTGATTCTAGCAACATTCTAGTCCTTACCTCTTCCTCCTCACCACTCCTACTAAATCCAGACTATCTAACAGCTGCTAAAATTTTAGCTCCACTCTCACAGTCCCCAAATCCTGTCCCCTGACTAATGCAGCCTAAGTTCCCCATACCTTCTGAGAACTGGAACAGTGAACAATTCTTAGAATATAACAGAACTTTGACTCTCATCAGTTTAACATAGAAATTCTTTAGGCTGTCTGCTCTCCAGCAGAACAGCTATCTTGAATTTTTCTGTTGTGATGATTTTAATGTAAGCTAACAGATTTTAGTTGGTTTTTCTTCTTTTACAAGTTCATTCTCATTTTTAAAGGATAGTTTGACCAAGTATTTTTTTTCCTTAAGAAGTTTTAGATTTTGTTACCTTATCTCATGGCACCCAGTGTTGCTGATGAGAAGTCCATATTCTGCAGCAGTATAGTTCCCTATTCTGGGGTTGGCCCCTTTTTTTTACAGCCTCTGTGATTCCCTGCAAGGGCCATGTCTTGTCAATGTGGCCCCTTGTGTGCTTTCTTTCTCAAGGATCACATAATTTCTGGTCCACCAAAAGTCCTTACTCTGCTTTTCACAAATCACAATGTACTTTTAAAATATAACAAAAAGAGTACTTTTAAAATATAACAAAAAATCATAATGCCTTGGTCTTAAGAGGGGAGATTTCAGCATGTGCTCCGATTAAAATATTATTTTTATTTGTTTGGGTAAGTCCCTATGAAACTATATTCCAAGGAAAAACAACTGGGTGTCCAGAGGAAGACTCATTTTTACTTTATACTTTTCTCTATTTGAATTTCAACTTATTGTTTTCTGTTTTTGGATTCACAGTAATGGCATGTATAACCCATTGGACGTCATTTTATTATCTACCTCTAAATGAACCCATCAGCTTTTCCCACCTGCTCTGGTGCCCTATCTATGCTGCTTACTGGTGTGGGCTACATCAAGGTCTCCTAGCCCTCTGTTTCCAGTTGGGCTTGCCTAATAGGAGGTGAGTGAGGTTGGGGTATTTATTCCCTGGCCTTTCCACCCTCTTCCCCCACTACATACCTGACTACCCTGTGTTGGTTCTGCCCTTCTACTGAAGACAGCAGCTGCCAGGTGCTCCTCTGCACACAGAGACCCTCATTTCCTCCTCTTGATCCTTTAGGCCTGGGGTAGCAGTGGCTCCTAAGGGTGCCAGCCTGGAGACCCACATTCCATTGCTGGCTTCTCTACACCCTGCTGACAGCTTTGTAATTAGTCCCTTCATTAAATTCTCCTCAAATTACTCAGCTTGAGTATCATTTGTTTTTGCCCTCATTCCTGACCCAAACCCAAACCAGAAAACAAAAAACCACAGCAATAAAGTATTTAGGTAACTTAATTATATAGATGCATCTTCTTGCTGTTTCATAAGAGAATAAAATATTTAAGAAAGAAGAAAGGTGAAGAAAACTTATTTTCATCAAAGGAACCATGCCACAGAGGGAAAGTAATAGTAAATATTTCATGAATATACACGTAAAGCTGAACTTCCTCTCCCTTCCCTTCCCGACAAGTGTTGTCGGGTGTCTGGACCTGGAGGGAAAGCAGGCGTGGATGAATTCTTGCTGATGCAGGTCCTTCTGCAGTACTGTGGGATCCTGCTGCGGAGACTTATAGACGCTCAGAGGTGAAACAGGCCATGGGGACCATCCAGCACAACAATGAACAGCACAGAGCATTGCAGTTTGTGATACAACCTTAGATTTAATTTGTGTAGCAAGTATATAAAAACCACCCCATGCTGGTGCTTCTTCAGTGTGCTCTTAAAAAACATTCCGGTTGCTAAAAAATGGTGCTAATTTTCCCGCTGGCTTTTGGGAGAGTAGCTAACAATGGCAACAGGTAACATTCACTAAATACTTGGCTGTGGGCTGGAGACTATGCTCCAAGCTTTATAGGTATCATGTTCCACAGCCCTCACCTAAGCTCCACAGAGGATACCATCCACTGCATCCTAGTGTATGATAGTGGCAGGTACTAGCATTAATCCAGCATTAATCCAATTCTGATGAGGATCATGACGCAGAAAGAAGTTAAGGGGCTTGCCCATCATCACATGGCCATTCAACTGATGGAGCCAGGACCCAAACTTGAGCGGTTCAAACCCCACGCTCATCCATTGTATCGTTCCTTCCTGGTAGAGTATCTATGCAGAAATAAATATGTATATATCATGCAGGCATATTGTTTTGTGCCTAAGAATATACCAGATATCCTGTTCTATGTCACTAAACACATAACGCCATTTTAAATGATGGCAGAACATTCAGTTGTATCAACATACCGGTTTGCTTAATCAATCTCATTGTTAGATTTTAATTTGTTCCTCTCCTTCTCCTTGATAATCCCTTTGTAGTACTGACTCCTCTCATTATAATCTCTGACCCCACGATTTCCTTGAGCTTCATATCATCTGTAAATTGATGCTGATAATACTTCCTTGAGTGATTATATATGATAGCTATTATTATATATTGCAATTATTTTTTAATTTTTTATTTGAGAGAGCACGCCCGAGTGGGGGAGGGGCAAAGAGGGAGGGAAACACAGAATCTGAAGCAGGCTCCAGGCTCTGAGCTGTCAGCACAGAGCCTGAGGCGGGGACTGAACTCACAAACGGTGAGGTCATGACCTGAGCGGAAGTCAGATGCCTAACTGACTAAGCCACCCTGGCTCCCCAGCAATTATTATTAAATAGAATGTTAAGCATTACTATTGGGGAGTGGGCTCTAGAGGACGCCAATTTTCTCCATTTTGCTTATTATTTATAATTTGTAATATTTCAATGTATTGTGTTAACAGGAAATGAGTTTGTTAGAGTTTAAGACAAATTTTTCATTTAAAAATATAAAGGTTAAAATATACTTTAGCTCTCCTGTCCCACAAATGGTTTTAACATTGATCAACAACAGTCACTAATCCAGGCTAAAATCATGGAGTTTTATGTCACCAAACACTGCTACTCCTGAGTCATCGTCCCATTTGTCAATATCCCACACTCTCTATGCAATCAGAAAATGATTCCAACGACACTTACCAATCCTCCCCCTTAAATAAATACACAAAAGCCTTGCTCTGATTGCTCTGTATTTATTCCTGATACACATGCTTCTGCTAGAGTGTTTTAGGTGCTGGCAATTCACAGGAATCCTTAGAAATGCTAGAAAGGTGCTCTTGTCTTTGTTACAGGAGTGATGCTGTATTCTCAATCAGTCCCCTATGTTTCCGTATCATCTTTTGATGACCTTTGTGAGGGTTTGGGATCTTAATTCTAGTAAGGGTCACACACTGATGAATTTATACCTGAGCTCCAAGCAGGGCTTAAATGGGCTGCTGATGAAATAACCAGTGCAATGCATCTTTAAGACAGATTATTATCCTATCTGTAAAAGGAAATCACAGGCATGTATAAACAGAACTTATCCTTTACTGTTTGGATTACAAAATGTAATTGTTTTCCTCGTGAATGATCTCATGCCAAATGACTGAGCTGCCAACAACAACAACAACAAACAAACAGCATGTGTGTGTGTGTGTGTGTGTGTGAGAGGGAAACATTATATTGTAGTAATTTTCCACAAGAGAAACTTGGTTGCTTTATGTTTCACCATGTAGCAGCCAAAATAGCTTCAAACAGATTTCATCTACTAAAAGAAAGTTTGCTGGTTTGAGAATTATTAATGAAAGAATAAAACCCAATCTTCAAGGTAATTTTTCTTTTATTTAAAATGTTAACTCACAACGCATTATACAATGAAGTGAAGACCTTAGAATCACATTAAAACTTTAAAAACATCTCTATATAGTCACAACACGTGAAACATGCTGCAGGGATACAGTTTTATACCAAATCTTAGTACATTTCCACCATGAAAACAGATGAAGCACAAGCCTGTCTGTGAGTTTCCTTTCCTTTAGCAGTGGCTGACGTGACTGCTTCCAAGAAACAAAAATGACTTCTTTGAAGACTGTATTTCACTTTCATTGAACACTGTGCCTTGTTGAGAAATTACCACTGGCTTCTATGTCTGAGGGAGTCCTATTAGAATTCTAACACACTTTCACAACACATATTGGCACGATATGAAAAACAGTTTTTTGAGTTTTCAACTCAAAACAATTGTTATTAAATAATTATTCCTCATAGTGCATGTCTCATTTTACCTTTCACTGGCCACTGACACAAATGAAGCTCAATAAATTACACATTAGCTGGTTTATTTACGTCTTCTTTCATAATCCTGCATCGCACGCCTTTCGTAAGCCACTGAGAACAAAGAGAACGTAGAGAGTTTTTTAAGAGGATTCACTGAGGTAAATAAACTTCAAGACATAGGGGAATTTATTAAAGACTCATAATGACTTTCCCCCCTCCACTGAAGTATTTCTAGGAATTTTATTTGCATGTCCTCCAATCTTGCTTCAGTCTCCATCCTGACTGGAAGTGTTCTAACCACAGAATTCTTGGTTGTTCAGCTTATCTGCCATATACTTTGTGCCCCCAAAGCACATTCCCACAATCTGTTGCAGTGTTACTCCCCAACAACTTTCTTAAGTAGGGGCAGGCCCCTTGGTGATTTATAGAATGGATAATTCCTCAAGTACAGGAATGGAAACAGTAGCAGGATAAAAGCAAAATGTGAGACTTCTATTCTAGGACAGAGTCAACAAACTACAGGTCATGGGACAAATCCAGCCCACCACCTTTTCTTGAAAATAACATCTTGGGGCGCCTGGGTGGCTCAGTTGGTTAAGCGTCCAACTTCAGCTCAGGTCATGATCTCACAGCTTGTGGGTTTGAGCCCTGCATTGGGCTCTGGACTGACAGCTCGGAGCCTAGGGCCTGCCTCCGATTCTGTCTCCCTCATCTTCTCCCTCTGCCCCTCCCGGATTTGCACTCTGTCTCTCCCTCAAAAAGAAATAAACATTAAAACAGTTTTTTTTTTTTTAAATAAAGAAAAGAATGTCTTACTGGAACATGGCCACACCCATGTACTATGGCTACTTTAGTATTTTATTGACAGATAGGAGTAGTTGCTACGGAGACTGCACAGCTCACAAAATCTGAAATATTTGCTATCTGACTCTTTACAGAAAAAGTTTCTGGATCCTTGTTATAGGAGTACCTAAGGCTGTGAGGGTCTCTTGTCTTGTGGATACCTTCCAGTGATGGACTGTCCTTGTTCATGGTCAGAGGTAGGGCAATTGTGCCACCCACATACAACACAGTTTAACTTACCTCCTAGCAGCCTAATAATGGCCTGTGAAAGATTAATCAATGCTCCAAAGGTACTTAACGTATGGCTAGCAAGTAATTTAAATACTCTATCTGGACTTAAAAAAAAAGCCAGAATTATACTATATTACATATTATTATTAAATTATATGCAATTTCAAGGAGGTCTGCAGTTGTCAGAGAAGGAAAAGTCCATTTCTCATCCTGCTTTGTTTGTATAAGGAGAAGGAGGAAGAGGAGGGCAAGCCCAAGTTCAGTTCCTGACAAGCTTCAGGTAACAGGATCTGACCCTCAGGGAAGTGAGGTGAAATAATGCAAACTAACCAAAGACTCATTAGTGTCAGCTGGAACATAATAGCCTCTTCCCCGGAAGCAGAATTTTTTTTTACCTGGTCCTTGAACTCTCCACAACTATATGTCAATTTTTGTGTTCATAAGCTAATGAGGCGTTCTCTACAAAGCAGGGCTCTAGATTTCTCAGATTGTCAGAGGGGTCTGTGACCACAAAAGGCTAAGAATCAGATGTCTGCAGAACACAATCACAACCTTGCCTCAGCTGGTCATATGAAAAGATCTGAGTGTAGGTTACATTTTTGCCCATTTTTCCCTTTTACAGTTTCTTAACTGAAATGGAGGCGTGAAGATTTAGTCATAAATTGATTCTGATTCATTCTAGTGATTCTATTTATCTGTAATTATATGATTACCCTACCTACATTTAAAAGCATTTGATCTGTGTAAATTGCGCAATATCTGTATTATTTGTAAAGTTAACCATGTTCTGATACCTGTATTAATTCTGGAAATAGATAGCTGGTGACTAATAGGATTATCAAGAAGACCACAGTTGTATAAGAGCTGGTGTACATTTCTGCTACAAGTAAAGCCAGGGTGGTTTAAATTTACATTCCATTTCCAAAAGCTAGAGGATAGCATGTGGTAAGATAATTTCAAGCTTTTCATTAGGCACATTGTTAACTTCTTTAAAATTAAAAAAAAAAAAAAAATAGGGGCGCCTGGGTGGCGCAGTCGGTTAAGCGTTCGACTTCAGCCAGGTCACGATCTCGCGGTCCGTGAGTTCGAGCCCGGCGTCAGGCTCTGGGCTGATGGCTCAGAGCCTGGAGCCTGTTTCCGATTCTGTGTCTCCCTCTCTCTCTGCCCCTCCCCTGTTCATGCTCTGTCTCTCTCTGTCCCAAAAATAAATAAACGTTGAAAAAAAAATTAAAATAAAATAAAAAATAAAATAAAATTTTAACTTGAGCAGCCCCAAAATTACTAACACGGGTATACGAATGTCATATCTAGATTTGGAAGGTACGGAACCCATAGTAGGGATACATCACTTTCACATAAATTTTTCAGATAATTATGCCAGCACTTCTTACAGATTTTCTAAAAACTTGTAATATTCTAAATGATTGAGTCATGCAGTTGCTTTCTAATTAATTACTTGATTAGTACTATAATTCTCTTTCCACTGAACGTAAAATAGTTTGAATAGCTTTCCTAAGGAACCTAATCATTATAAAAGCTGCATGTGCTTTACAAAAAAATCAGTCTCTATGAAAAGGATATAGGAATTACTTCACATTGAAAAATGGTATGGTGAGTGGGTTTTCAGATCTACGTATGAGGCCTTTTCACAGAAGACAAACTAAAGAGAGGCAAGGAAATATGCAGCCTTTATGGTAAGTGAAAGACTTATCCAAGATTAAACTGGGTTAAGAGAACCGTGGCATCCCTTCACGCTCAGTTTTGCAGCGGGAAGGGATCGCAGCCCTGCAGGGTGGCTTGATCATGTTCCTTTTTGAAGGCACTGGGATGGACTATGTCATTCTCATACTCTCAAACATCCATCAGGATGTTTCGAGTTTGAGTCTTTACAACTTCATAAAGAGCAAGTGATCTGCATAAATGGAAATAGTGTTTTGTTTATGTTGTGCTGAAAGACTGCTGGATGTAATGTGTTCTAAGACTTTCAAATTACCTTGGTAGTAAGTGAAACCTGGTCTTATTTCACCACATACCCTTCCACTCTTAGTTCAGTGAAGTTAAGTGTGGCTGATGTAACAAATATAAGGGGAAGAGTAGTAGACCAGCCCAAGGATTCAGGTTAAGTAAGGATTACGTGGGAAAGATGCTGGGAAGGCTGATGGTTTGAGAAAGATCGATGCATCCTGGGTGATATTAGCTTAATCGGCTACAAATCCATGCCTGGACTTATTTATTGCAGTTACATTTTTTTCATCACAAATACTCATTTTGAATTTATTATGCCTTTTTAGTACTTTGAAAATTAACCTTTAGAAAAAAATATAGATTTAAGATATTGTCTATTTTCAGTCATGGTTTTATACATACCAGAATTTAAAGCTCTTTTGCCCATTAGTCCAACAAAGGAATCTGTTTTATGCCCTGGAAAAATACATTTAGGGGTATTTCAATATGTAGATCTTCGAGGAAATCAATGGTTAAAACTTGTACTGAAGAAAAGCAAGCTTCTGAACATATGCCTATATAATAAATACATAACCATTTCAAGTTTTGGGGAGACTGAAGAAATGATGATTCCTAAAAAGTCTTACAAATGACATTAAACAATACAAAAGAAAGCATTTTTCTTAATTCTATGTCTAAATATTAGCAAGTACACTTTATTCATATTACATTCTATCTGCTCATATATGTTTTAAATATTGTTGCTATTTAAGCTAGCTTTGACTTTTAGGGGGTTAACTTCACAAACAGAAATATCCAAGTAGATGTCCTCGTGTCTCTGACTACGTTGTTATTTCTCAGGAGCTGAACCTTAGTTGAGTAGATCCTTGCACCTGATGATTATAAACTTCTAGAAGGTCACTATTTCTATTTTGTTGGATTTTAAAAAATACTCCTTTTGGAAAAGTGTGTTTTCACACTAATAGAGCACATTTATTTTCATTATATAGAATTTTGCTGTATACAATTCCTTCAAAGTCAAATCTTTACAATGTAAATAGGAATAAGATTTATTTTCAAACATAAAGCTTTCGGGAAAGCTTACTATTTCAACTTTAGTGGCAAAAGGTCTCGTGGTTTAAACTGTATTATTTGAGAATAGGACTGCTGTTTAAACGTGACCTCCTCTGCCAACCAGTGAACCCAAGTCCAAGTAGGAGATGTGAGTGGACCCTGGGGTAAGTGAGTAGGATTGAGGTGGACCCAGGGGGGACTTCCTGTCAACTTGAGCTCTACTAACTGGAAAACTAAGATCTAATGAACGTCAAGTGCCACAAGTCTGCTATCTCCACTGCCCTATGAAATGTTTCCCTGAACTTTGATAGATCATTTATGGGATCAAAAAACTGCATTTCTAGCTCTCTTTACTATGGATTCTCTACTCGTTCACTCGATCCTCTCAATTGGCTGCTGGATGACCCTAATACATGATGTCCTCAGGAGACCTAGCAGACTGAAATGTTAGGAGATGCCTATAAATGCTTATTGTTTTTGTTTTTGCAGTGGAGGTGGTAAGGGATGGGAGAGGGTGTGTGTGAAAGGAGAGGACTCTGTTGTGGATTTTTACCCCTGGACTGAAATTCTTATCTAAAACTAACAATTTATAGGAGTTAAAGGATTTCTTCTTGTTTTTTTGTTTTTGTTTTGCAGCTTAAACAACAATAAACATTTATTATCTCACAGTTTCCATGGATAAGGAATATCAGCAACAGGTTAGGTAGGAGTTAAAAGGATTTTTAACATAATGCATCATTTTGGTAAGTATCCAGGTCTAAAAAACAGCTTTGAACAAACCTATTCTGGATATAATTAATAGGAGTCTCCCCCCTTCTAATACCTTCTTCATTAAAAATACTAAGTCCTAAGTTATTACAGAAGATATAAAATGAAATTCAATCTAATTTATCTTTGCATTGGTAAATGTCAAAATTATTCAAAATAATTAGAAACTTACTTTTATGAGAGATCTGGCCATGCCCTAGAAGAAAGAAAGGCCAAGTTAGCAGAGCAACAGATTTGTTTTAAAGACGCTACATTTTTAAGAGAATTATAAAATGTTGATTTTTAAAATACCTAACATTTCCCATTCATGTACTATCCTGAGGAATATAGCAGACCCATAAATGCTAACCAAATTGTTAATGATAAAAGCAGAATAGCAGCCAAAAATATTCCAAAGGGAGTATTTTTGAGGGCCTTCTATGGGCCAGATTTAAACCCAGAACTATTAGGCCCCTGAAGCCTAACAGTAACTGTTAGGCCACACCACCTGTTTTCACATAAGAACCATATCTCGGGGCGGGACTACTATTTGACATTCAGAGATGTATACAAGTCTATAGTTTTATTAAACAGGTATGACCAAGAATCTATTTCGCCCATAAAAGACTTTCTTCACTTTTCCTACGTGTGCATTCACATTAGTAAAATAAAGATTTATAGAAATGTTTACCATAAAGAGCCTTTAACAGGGCCACTTGTTTTTCAATTGAGGAATCTGACAAAAGATGAATTGACATTAACTATTTGCACGTTCCACTGATGTGACAAATAAAAGGTAACAATATTTCTATCACGAGACATGAGGCACCTGAATCTAATCTAACCCCAATGGTCTAAAATGGGTTTCCACAGGCAGTTAGATCCCCTGGAGGCCCCGCGCCTTCCGCTTTGTCATTTTGGATCTTCGGTCAAGGCAGAGCTCAGCTAAGGCTGGTCCCCGTTCTTGATTTGGGTCACTCTAATTGTGTGAGGCACGCGCAAACGATCTCTCCCTCCCTCCGCGGACTGGTGTGTGTGTTGGTGGGTCAAGGCCAGAGTCGCTCCTCGGGGATATATCCATTTTAGGATGGAAACTTCTACTCAAAGAGCAAGAGAGACTGGGAGCTCTGAGAAGCGGCGACGGGGAGAGAGGGCGACTGCTCAGAGAGACAGAGAGAGGGATGGCTGCCCATCTCACCAGCATCCCGTTTGCCCATTAATCCGAAGAACTGCTGAGGCTTGGGTCTCCGGGCGATTCTCTGCAGAAGATGCTCAAAGGGCTCGGGCAGCTCCTCCTGGGGGCGGACGCACAGACAAACGAGCGTGTAGGCAACCAGCGCGTGGCGCCGGGAAACCCGAGTCATTCCAGTGGTGCGCGCCAGCCTTAGGAGAAGCTCGGCTGCGGGCACCACCGCCGCCAGTGCCCGGAAGCTCGCCCCACAGGGAGGCGAGAGGAGGCCCGGCTTCCCCGCGCCGGGGCGGAATGGGGTCCTAGCCAGGGAGCTCCCTTCCTACACCCCTCCCGGCGGAACTCGGTTCTAGCCGCGCCTCCACCCCCCAGCCCCGCCCCCAATGGTTAGCGGGCGGCGCGGCATCCCGGAGCTCTGCACGCTTTCCGCTTTTTGCTCCTAGCTTGGAGACCCCCCGCCCATCTGTCGCGCAGCCACCTGACTTTCTCTGGACTCTGGCGCGGGCTTTGGAGACACCTGACCGCCCTAAACGCACACAGGTGTGTGTCGGGAGCGGGGAGGGAATGACAACGCTTTACTGGAGACCTGCACCGCGAGACTTTTACTGTTCCCTCGAGGCGCGCCCCCTTGCAGGAATAGCTTGCGAGCCCAGTAAAGGAAAACTTGCAGCTCCGTCCTCGGGTCAGCAAAATAAAAGTCAAGGCTGGAAGCTACCTTCCCACCCACCCCGCCCTTCGAAGCCCCCAGCAACTTGCCCTTTGCCCCTGCTTCTACCAGCGTTGGGCGCGCCCCCTTCTGCTGCTGCCCAGCCGTTTCCAAACGCCCGGTCCCTGCAGCTAGACTGGAGTCCCCGAAATCTCCGTTACCCCAGGATGAAACCTTGTAAGGTTTTCAGCCTTATGAGGACCCCCCCTCCCCCCGGGAGTTCCCGAGACCCGACGGCGCAGACCCCGGGAGGAAACTTGGGATCCTGGGCACAAAAATCTCGTGCGGGCCCGAGGGAATGGCGTTCCTTTACACCCCCACCCCCCCTTCCCCGCGCGCCTCCACCGCCTCTGGTCGCGGTCACGGTGTCTTCCAGGCTAACTAGAATGTTATCGCAGGGGAAGTGATGGCCCCCTAGGCCTGGAAAAACGGCGCGCCCCGGCTGGAGACCCGTTCTCACCTTGATCTGGTCGCTGTCGGACCAGTCGGACCAATAATTCAGATCATCGTTATCTCCGATTTCTTCTGCGAACAGTTGAGTGGAGATGAGAAAAAAGACGGCCAAGGCCACGAGGATTTTCATGTTGGATTTCTGGGAATTGTGGGGAAGAAAAAAGGTACATATTGGGGATGGTTATCCAAGAGTTTGGGCAGCATAATTTCTGGTCTCACAGCCAAATCAGGGCCGACTGAACCGAGGGATAAAAAGCCTAAAGGATACCTTGTACGCCTTAGGAAAGATAATCATGCCCCAAAGCTTCTCAAATCCCCTTCTCCCTGGAACCCGACTCCTTCCGCCCCAGGCCCACCGATCCATACCTTCAAGCCAGCAGGCTCTGCAGGTGGGTAACAGTGAGGGGCTTTGGCGTTTGGGATACCCGTCGCCCCGCTGTCCCCCCGCAGTCCTCCCATTGTCCCTAGCTCCAGCGGCCCATCCAGCGTGGCCAGCCGCCACCTCGGAGCGATGCGCGGCGCGGGCACTTACTGCGGCGGGCAGGCCCGAAGGATTCCTCTGGCTGCTCTGAGCGCACGCGGGGCGCTCTGCGCTCTCGGTCTCCGAGGTGGTGGAGGCAGCGGCGCGCTCTTTTGCCCGCTCGGTGCCGCGCGGTATTTATATGAGCCCCGACGAGCCCCGAGGCCCACGTGACACGCTCCCCACGCGACTTTCTGCTCAATATTTAATTAACCGCCTCCTCTCCTTCGCTTGCGTCTGATTGAGTTTCCGAGACGGTAACCCGTCGGTGCCCATAACATCTGGACCCAATTGGGTTCGAAATGACGCAACTTTGGGAAAATCGAGATCTCGCCATCCAATCCCGAGCGGCCCGTCTTCTTCCGTCTGCAGAGCTGACGCCCCCTCCCCTCTCCTTCGGAACGAGGTTCCATGACACCTGAGATTACTCATCAAAATTGAGCAAAGTGACTCATTCCTCGGACTTCCGTAACTTTTTTGTCCCTTGAGACGTCAGGATAAGTTGCACTTTTAAGGATGGCCAAATAACTTAAGGTATTAAGATATTGTCGTCGGAAATTATGCTAAGAAGAGCATTTCAAATGGAAGGAAAAGGCTTTTTTTTCCCACCTTATATCTCATCTGCAGTGTCTTAAGTGTTTCTGAGATATAGTATCTTCTATGAGCACAGCATCCTTCTCCCAAACCAGATAGAATACTGGCGTTTCTCCAGCATTACAAAAGGATTTTCAGTCCCATAGCATTTCAGAGGATGGAAAGCAGATGTATTTTACATTTTGGAGAAAGGAGAATTTAAACGTGGCGATACACGTAGAACTTTTGTTATCAGTGCCATCCTAGGATATCTTTTGTTCCAAGCTAGCAAAAACCTCTTCCTTCACACATCCAGGAACAGGGGTTGGAAGAGGACGTTTTCTGTTCTCTCCTACCCTTTCTCGCTGAAGACTAAGACACCGGCGAGACCGTGTACAGGATCCTTCTGGATGTCATTAAAGGATTCTACAGATCATCCACTGATTTCTCCTGTATATGAGAATAAGTGTAATGAAGATGCTAACTGGATGGTCATTAACAATATGAAACTATTAGACAAATAACGTCGTACAGAAATCACAGCTTTCCATGAGTCCATGGTTTCACCTTGCAGACACATTTCTTTCATCTCCAAATGAATCAAATGAGGTATCTTGGGTGCAGCTGTTTTCTCCTCTTTGCTAAGTAAGTATTACATTTTTCAATTCTGATGTGTTTAGTATACCGCATAAAGGAAATAACATTTTTTTTTGCAATTCACTTAAGTCAGTAATGTTTTTTCCTCTCATATTTGCTGTTCTTTCTTAAATAGTCCTGAATTTTGAAATTCCCACATCTCTATCTCATTTCTTTACAGCCATCCTCACAGGGTGAGGCATTCTATTTTTGTATTTATAACTTCTTATGTGGGAAATTATATACAAAAGTAGAGAGAATCATTCACTTGAAACCACTTGCAAGTTTTACGGACAAACCTTTCCTATTTCCCCTCCACTCAGATTATTTTAAAGCAAATTCCAGATATCATTTCAATGGTGACTATTTCAACATGTCTATAAAGATGGTAAGGATTAAAAAATATAAAAGCAGATCCGTGCCATTTTTCCACCTAAAAATGATATCAAATAAGTCCTTATCACATTAAATACCTGGTTAATGTTCAAGTATCCCTCATTGTTTCATAAACCCCTCCTCCACAAAAGCAGTGTGGAGGTTCCTCAGAAAATTAAAAATAGACCTACCCTACGACCCAGCAATAGCACTGCTAGAAATTTATCCAAGGGATACAGGAGTACTGATGCATAGGGGCACTTGTACCCCAATGTTCATAGCAGCACTCTCAACAATAGCCAAATTATGGGAAGAGCCTAAATGTCCATCAAATGATGAATGGATAAAGAAATTGTGGTTTATATACACAATGGAATACTACGTGGCAATGAGAAAAAATGAAATATGGCCTTTTGTAGCAACGTGGATGGAACTGGAGAGTGTGATGCTAAGTGAAATAAGCCATACAGAGAAAGACAGATACCATATGGTTTCACTCTTATGTGGATCCTGAGAAACTTAACAGGAACCCATGGGGGAGGGGAAGGAAAAAAAAAAAAAAAGAGGTTAGAGTGGGAGAGAGCCAAAGCATAAGAGACTGTTGAGAACTGAGAGCAAACTGAGGGTTGATGGGGGGTGGGAGGGAGGAGAGGGTGGGTGATGGGTATTGAGGAGGGCACCTTTTGGGATGAGCACTGGGTGTTGTATGGAAACCAATTTGACAATAAACTTCATGTATTAAAAAAAATAAATAAATAAACCCCTCCTCCACAGAGTTTAATAGTTGAAATCAGAATTGTAATGAAGTCCATACACTGAAATTGGTTCACTTATTTCTTAAATGTACCCTAACCAATAGCTCTCCTCTGTCCATCACTGCTCCCTTCTTGTAGTTTATGGATAAAACTGGTCAGTAAAGTGTACTACATTCTGGAGTTTGCTGATTGCCTCCTGATGGTTTCTTTTACCTTGTTCCTCTGTCCTCTTTCCTGTTAATTGGTAATGGTACCTAGAAGCTTCATCCTACGTGGGTTCAGGTTTTCTGACAAGACCATGTGTTGTTACGAGATGCATGATATCTGGTTGTTCCTCCCTTTGAGATGTTAGCAGATATTGATGATCATTTTCTAGATCCATTAATTCATTAGTACTTTCAAAATAGGCTTATTCTGATTTTGTCATTGATTCTTAATTTATTAGCTAGACTATTTCTTCCATATAAAGAGCAACTTTTTTCTCAACAACTATTTAATTACTCTAAGAGCTGATTTGGGAAACATGGGATAAATGCTTAATTACTTCCCTTTGCCAATTTTTAAAATAATGATTTAGTAAGTTAACACATTCGTATGTGGCCGCCTCTCCCCAAATTTAGGATTATTATGACTTCGTGGACTTAAACACATTTGAAGTATTTCACTCCTTTGAAGAAGGATAGAAGGAAGCCTTCTAATTGATGCTTAGATTATCCCAATTCTTGGCCAGCAGGACTTTTCAAAATTGGCTCCTGAAGCTTTTGATATGCCTTAAATGGGCTTTAATGGCTTTTGTTTTTTCGTCTGACAAGATATTTCACGTTTACCTTTTATATTTCCTGTCTCAGACCTGCAATTTGCATTTAAGGAGGTCTTGTTTCCTTTGAATTAGAAATGATAATTAGAGATTATAATCTGGGCATTATGGGTGCACATCGCCACAGAGTTCTTCATTGTTTCAAGATCTTTTCAATGAATAGAGCTGAAAATGTGTAAGTGGGTGTGGGTGTATATAAAATTGTGAATGAACGTATGCTGACACTTTCTATCCAAATCAGGACACTCTTACGGTCTTCCCTTGCACCTTTTCTTCCATGCCAAAAAGTCCCAGTTCCCAGTGACATCAATATGATTACTCATTTGCTTTATCTCAATACACAATGCCAACATAATTAACAGTACAGTTATTGGAAGCAGATCAAGAGTGTTTATTTACAATTCCTTTTGTCCTTAGGACATACCACATTAGGTCTGTTCAGTAAACTTACAGTGTTTTAAAGTCACTTAAAAGTTTTTTCTCTGTATGGTTATGCTACCAACTTTTATACACATGGTTCATTTGCTCATTTTGCTCTTGAGTTTTAGGGATTGCTTTTTCTGTTTTATTTAACATTATGTAAAATACATATTCCAAATGCAAACATTCAAAACATAATGTATTCAAAGGAATGTAGTTTCACCCCCAGGCCCTCTGTTTCCTTCTTTACTGTTACTTTTTAGGCTCTCAGTTTATCCTTTTATTATTACTGTTATTGTGGTTATTTTAATATAAGCAGATATGTATTTATATCCCTCTCCAGCTTGTAAAATTCCATACCTAAAGGGCGGCATTTTAGATTAATTTTTTGTTTGTTTCTTTGTTGATGACGTGGTATATGAGGTAACAATAAGGACAGCTTTTTCTTCACAATTTCTTCCCTGTTGGCTCTTTCATAGGATTGAGTAATAAACAATAATGAGATAGACAAGTGGTCAAAGAACTCATTACTCACTTTTTCCATGTCATTCATTAATTGCTAACTGAGTGTTCCTGGTAAGATCATGCACTTACTGACATGCTTTCTCCTTGAACATTGCAGGGTTTGGGATACTTACATTCTTTATTTGTCTCATTTGAGATATTTATGCTCTTTATGTGCTTTATTTCCCAGAGCATCAACTTTGTGAAAATATACATATTAATAAAATAAATATGTATGAGAAGTAGAATGGTGGAAAAGTAAGTAGTTAGTAAATCATTATTTATGTTTGTAAATTAAAAGCTTACAGAAAAGTACAAAGAAAAAAATGCTATCACTCAATTTTATAACCTAGAATGAACCATTGGTAACATCTTGATATACTGCTCACAATTTTTAAAGGGAAAAGAGTTGCCTGTTTGTTTTGAAAAATAAGACGTGATGTACTCTTTATAAGGAATAAAGCAATGCAGAAAAGTTCAATAATATATTTTTTAAAAAATTACTCAAAACTCAGAAATTGCTACCCTACGCATTGAAAGAACATCATTATGAGTGTTGCTCTAGGCATATTATATCAATCGAAGAGTAGAGCAGTAGGTGAGTAAAAGTTACGAAAATAGGATTGGACCCTTACAAGTATTTTTAATGACAGGTAGTAATTTATATTTTATTTGTCTTAAGTAGAAGTCAAAACAAAAGTGAAAACTTTCTTCACAAGATACTTTTTTCTATAAAAGAATCTATTAATTTTCAAAAACAAGATTTAGGAATAAACGTTAGAGGCTAGCATGTAATACTTAAAACAATAGATATTCAGACAATATCTATTTATTCTCTGTTTTGAAAGATGAGGGCATTAACTTCCTCCCATTACCCCTTCCCCCCACCTCCCAATTTTCTTAGTTATACAATTATTTGAACATTATTGAGGTTTATAACATTCACATTTAATTTTACTACCATATTTCCATTAGTTGTCTACTGTTCGTTCTATATTTAAACAAATTCATTGTTCACCACGAGCCTTTTAACCTAGCTTTGCCTTTCTTGTTTATTTTTTATCTCTGATTCGGCTGGATATCATTGTCAAGCACATTATTTTCCTTAAGAAGAAAACAGGCATACTGCATTCCTTGAGTTCTTTCATGCTAGCATATATCTGTCAGGGGCTTCTGAACTCGAACAACATCTTGATTAGTTAAAGTATTTTAAAATTACACTTCATTTTCCCAGGACTTTGTGGATATTGCTCCATTGCCTCGGGTATCCTGGAGAATTCTGAGGTAGGACAGTTTTTC